CTCATAATAAAGTGAGATGTTAGCTAATAGGTAAATTCTTTAAAAGCTTATTTGATCCTCAACTACCCTATTCATAAGATTTTTCTTCTTGAAACTACAAAGAACAAAAAGCTGAAATATCTGTCAACAATAAGATAAATACCTTGGTTGACTCTGAGGGTAGATATGCCAAGATGAGTAAGTGAGTCTTGTAAGTATATGAGAAACTGGCCCTACAACACCCTACAACAGGGGAAGAGGTAAGAAATGGACATACAGGTATCTGTCACCTGAGGGCTGAATCTAAGCAACACACTAGTAGCTATTGCTCTTCATCAAATTGCAATCACAGAAACTTTCAAAACATCTTGTTAAAGTGGACAAAATAATTTCTTGAAATAATCACTTCAAAACATACAATAGGGCTGGGAAGGTGGCTCAGTGGTAGAGTGCTTGCCTTGTATGCATGAGGCCCTGGGTTCGATTCCTCAGCACTGCATAAGCAGAAAAAAGCCAGAAGTGGCGCTGTGGCTCAAGTGGTAGAGCGCTAGCCCTGAGCTGAAGAGCTGAGGGACAGCACTCAGGCCCAGAGTTCAGGTCCCATGACTGACAAAACAAAAAACAAAAACAACAATGAATCCAACATACTACTCAGTCTATATAACATTTGTTTGTTGTTGATGATGTTTTGTTGTGCACTCCATACCTCCCCCCTCCAAAGCCAGCAGGGTTAATTCAGGAGAGCAAGCAGGAAACAACATTGATAGAGTTGGAGGTGGGATGAGAGGGCTAATCACAATCACCTTTATACAGATAAGAAGTTAGTAGGATGAATAAAAAAAAATCTCTCTGAAAATAAGGGTTGGCAAACAGGCTTGAAAGCTGTAGAGATACCAGCCCAGGTCTACTGTCTGTTCAAAGTTCTTTAGTAATGAGCCTGGGGCTGGTGGCTCACACCTGTCATCCTGTAATCAGGAGGCTGAGATCTGAGAACTCTGGTTCAAAGCCAAACCAGGCCAAAGAGTCCAGGAGCCTCTGATATCTAATCAAACACCAAAATGCTGGAATCAGAGGTATAGCTCAAGTATAAAGTGCTAGCCTTGAGCAAACACACACACACACACACACACACACACACACACACCAAAAAGCAAAAAATGCAAGTGAGAACGTGTGGCCCTGAGTTCAAATCCCAGTAACAATAGACACACACACACACACACAATTTCTGTGGTAAGAATGGTTCTGATATATGATTGTAATTCCTAATCCTTTCCTTGCACAAAAAGTACATACTCCTCATTTATAATTGCTAACTCATTTGTTTCTTAGAAAATTAGCTCAAATTAAGGCACTGAACAAAAACAAACCACCTATTCCTTTCCTGTATTTAAAAAGCAACAAACTCTACTTATTAGAATATATATCTCCCATGTCAGAAAGAAGATGATGAAATGTTTTCCACAAAGACGTCTCAAATTTGTCACTATGAAAGTGAAACGGATACTTCCACTGTGGTGAAATGCTTATGGCTGACCCAACAATTTAGGCCACAAAGAACACCACTTTCAATTAGCCAGAATTAGATGAGTAATCAATTCTTTCCATTTCATTTTGAACATAATGTCCTATATAATCTTTTATTTGATATTTGCTAGAATGTAAAGGCCAACTACATATTCACCAATAAGTTATCAGTCCATATTTAAGGCAAAGCCTAGCAACTCAATTCTTACTTAGTTTTGAGTACTTGACCGACCATTGCACAAGGCTGAATTCTGCTTACTTGAATTCCTTCCCATACTTCAGGTCTATCTGTGTGTGCAGCTCTTCATAGTATAATTAAGACAGGAACAAAACCATGCAATTCAAATAGGTAAGTGAGATAGACCAAAATGTACAATTCTACTCAGGCTATCTCTGAGTTACCATTTGGTATCCTTTCAGTTCGGGGTCATATACTTCCATATCTATCTTTATGTTTATATTTCCATATATATGAATTTATATTTCTAAAAATATAGAGATATAAATATAGCAGTAGAGATAGATGGAAATATATAGGTCAAATAGATAGAGATAGAAGATAGGAAGACATTTATATATCACATATGCATATATGTCTATCTAGCCAAGATCAGGAGGGCAAAGCTTCACTGATAACAATATAGAAAGCGAACACTGCTAATTTGCATATATGATAATGAAGGAGGAAAAGGAAGAAAATGTTAGCAGATGAGGTAGTGATTTGTCACTTCCCAGAGACAGCAGAGGACTTTCCCTGCTGTAAAGGCAGGAACTACCCCACGTTAAGGAAGAGGTCTTGTCCTGAGATGGTTATTGCTATATTCTCAATAATGTTGTACATTATAGAAAGTGGTTTGAGGGAGCTTTCCACCAGCATTCTGGGAGTAGTGGCCTCACTGGTGGGTGTGAGCCACGTTTTGATTAGAAGACTCTTTGTCCAAACTTTGTGATAAACAGGTAAGTATTCTAGGTTATTCCAATTCATATATAACATGACATAAACTCAAATACTACTGGTTGACCTCAAGATTGATCAAGGGTCTTTACGTAATACAATGTGTAGTTTTGACGTACCTGAAGTGTTTACAAATAAATATTGCTTTAAAATAAAGAGCAAAGTGAGCATCATATGAGTGAAAAAGCTAACTTATTAGCTTGTGTCCTATGACAGAGGCTTTCTTTGGGTAGCATATTGGCAAAGGCGATTTATTATCTGGTGCATGCACATACTTGAGAGCCTGGAATGGGATAAGAATAGTCTAAAGAACTTTTGAACCTAGAACAGGAGCAGATGAATTATTCAATTTAGGTCTCTTTTCTCTCCAAGAGATACAAAGGCATGTCCTTCTTGTTAGGAAATACAAAAAGAAAAAAAAAGAAGAAAGAAAGAAAAAGAAAAATTAAGCATACGATATTAACTCATCTGAGCTCTTGCTATGACTTTGTAAGGATCTCAGTGTCGCTTTTCCCCTGGATGAGCGAGGAGCTGAGGTTTACAGATGGAGTAAATTGCTCATTGTTGGGAAATTGAAATTCCAGCCCAGCCTGGCTGCTGGCTGGCGTGGGGAGCATGCATTTTTTTTTTTCTTTTTAACCATTCATGCTTTGCTCCTTTCCTTTGTATTTCCTCCTTTCCAATAAGGTTAACTATTTACAAAAGAAGATCTCCACGGAAGAGAGGTCCCGAATGGGTTAACACTAAAGCAGACCCGCGAGCTGGAGGGAAAAAAAACCCCACAAATAAAAAACACCCCAAAACAATCACTCCCCCCCCAAATCAAAACACAAACAAGCTAGCCGAAGCCTGTTCAAGTCCCCGCGGAGGACATTCCCTGGGCCTCCTGTTCCTTTAAACTCTGGCTTTCACTCCCCCGAGCCCCGGGAAGGGGGGGTTGGCGGCGGGGGGGGGGGGGGGGGACCTCGCTGCCCCGGCCGCCGGCCAGCACCCCGGGCGCGGGTCTAGGGGGTCTTCGGCAGCTTGGCTTTGCTTTCTTCACACCCCAGTCACATCCAGATAGAACTCTCCCGGAAGAGACCGAAAGAGAGATCTGTAGTTAACCCATTGGCGCCCGGAAAGCCCCCCGCTGGCGTGCTGTTCCCCCCCCCCCCCCACACACACACTCCATTCCCCGGCGCTGGGCACCGCCGGCCACGGCCCCGCCGACCGGCACGCGGGAGGGGCGAGGAGCCAGGTGGGCGCGGGTGCGGCGGGAGCGCGGCTCTGGCGCGCAGATGGCGTCCTGGAGGCGCGGAGGTGCCGCCCGGGGTTGTCCTCCTCCTGGGGATCGTGGCTCGCCGAGTGTGAATGTGTGTGTGTGTGTGTGTGTGTGTGTGTGTGTGTGTGTGTGTGTGGACGGGGTGTCCAGGCGTTCCTGGGGCGCACGGAGCCCGGCTTGCCCTCGCACTCCCCCCACGCCCGCATCCCCTCCCTCCTTCCCCCAGCCCGGCTGGGCTCCCCGGCTTGGTTCAGTCTGCGACTTCTCAGCTCAGCCGCGAGGAAGAGCGCGCAAGCCATTGGACAGGTCGGTGCTGGCGGCGGCTCTGGGGGAAGGAAGGTGGGAGAAGCCTGGAGGAGCGAGCGAGCGAGCGAGGGGGAGGGTGGGGGGGGGACCGAAGGGGAGGGAGGGTGCCGCGGCGGCGCTGGCGAATCGCGAGGCGCCTTCCCTCCCGAAGTGTGGAGCTCCGGGGAGCGCGGGGGAGCGGGGCGGCCGCGGCGGCGCCTCCACCGCCACCAAACTTGGGGTTCAGCTGGGAAAGGGGGGTGCTTGGGAGGAAGCACCGCTTCAGCCTGACCAGCTCTCCCTCTTGTGTTGTTTCTTTGGATCGTGTTCTCTTTCCTGCCTTCGGACCTCAGCCTGCGGCCACCCCAAACCTTCCTCGGGCTCGGCTCTCCTCGCCCCCGCCCCGGTGCGCAGCCAGGACGCCCCGGACGCGCGCCCGGCGTGGGGCGAAGCAAAGAAGAAAAACTTGTCGGAGGGGTTTCGCCAGCTCCCACCCTCCCTTTTTTTTTTTTTTTTCCCTCGCCAAACCCGAACCTCGGTCCGGGGCCATCCCACAACGGGGAAAGTTCCCCGGGCGGGCTCTGGCTGCTGGGATTCGGACGAGGCACCGGCCGTCGGCTGGTGGAGTCAGATCTGTTTTGGAACCAGTGGCTCGGATCCCGGGCACTCGGGAGTCACCGTCTGCGGACACCCGGGGGGCGGAGAGGGAGGTCTGCCCGTGCGGAACGCAGAGTTTGTGATCCCGGGGCTGCCAGGGGCCTTTTCCTCCCTGCCGAGGTTGTTGTTTGGCCGGGGGCGGGGGGTGAGCTGGGGGGGCGAGCGGAGAAGAAGAAGAAGAGCCGCGGAGGTCCGGGGAGCACTCGGCCGCGCTCTGCCTCGCCTTCCCCGGCAGCTCGGCGCGCCTCCCTCGGGTGAAGTCCCAGGGAAATCTGTATTTTTTTTTTTTTAAACCAAAGCCTTCAGATCCCAACGAGCGACGCCTGTCCCCGGAGCTCAGCCAAGTCGCCCCCATCCTCCCCGGGATTCCCCCCTCGCCCTCCCGCTCCCGAGAGCTCACTCAGGACGCCGGGAAAGGACTTGGAGGGGCCCGGGAGGGAGGTCGCGGCAGCAGCATGGCGCGGTTCCTGAGGGCCGAGCTGGCCGCCGCGGGAGTTGTGTTACTTTGTCACTTCTTCGGCGACCGCTTGCAGCTGGCCGGAGGGGCGTCGGGAGAGCGGATCGGGGGTGAGTACCGCGCACTTGGCGCTCGGGGATGGATTTGTGTGGATCGCGTTGGCACCCCCATGTCCTACAACCCCTCACCCCCTGACCCCGGCGCCCTGCGCCTCACCCCTCCGGCCCTGGGGAAAGTTACTGCAATTGTTCTTTGGATAAACTTGACCAGGGGGGAGCCTGGTGGGCTTTCCCGAAGCTTTGGTGGTGGTGGTGGTGGGGAGCTTCCTTCACCTGGGCGCCAGGGGGTGGCACTGTCACCCTCCCCCCTAGAAATGCCCAGAGGATGCTACTGGGTAGCTGGACACCCCGCGCGGTGCCTGCTCCGGGTTTCCTTTAAGCCGGTGCGTGTCTAGGTTGGCGTGTGCGTGTGTGTATATGTGCGTGTGTGTGCGTGTGCGCGCGTGTGTGGGCAATGCAGGGCTCTCCTCACAACGGGAGACATTTCCTTGTAGTTGCCCGTCGTCCCCCCCCCCCCCGCCCCGGGTGAGCCCCACCAGCGTCCTCTGCCTGCCTGGGGTTTGGCGACGTGCGGCGGGTGGGAGCGGCGGAGGCCCCCCGCGATGGGCCGGGGCCAGGGAAGGCGCTGGCGGCGCTCTCTGGACACCCGTTCCCGGTCCCATTGTCCACCCATCGGCTCTGCAAACAGGTCCGAACGTGCTCAGGATCCTCAGAGTTGCCTTGACGTTGTACCCCCCTTCCCCCCTCCTCCTCTGGGATGTCCCCGCCACCCCCACCCCCACCCCCACCCCGGGTTCGCCTTCCACCCGCCCTGGTGGCCGCTCCTCTCCCAGGTGTGCGCTGGGCGGGGTTGAGCCTCTGGTCCTGGTGGGTGCCCGCTGCCCTCCCGGGACCCCGCCCACTGCACGCTCCCCGCCTGCTTCTCAGGTCCGCCCTGCGGGGAAAAGTGAAGGGGGAAACAGAGGCAGAGACAGACAGGGACAGGCATTTCTAAACTTCTTTAGACTTCCAGAGCGAGCATCACCTGTAGAGAAAAGGAAAATGACAGGAAAACTTCTCGGTTAGAGTATTCAGTCTGTGTGTGTGTGTGTGTGTGTGTGTGTGTGTGTGTGTGTGTGTGTGTGTGTGATTTGGAAGAACAGGGGACAGTTGAGTGAGTGCCCGGACAATACTGCATGTATCACCAATTATCAGCCCCCAGGAGTCTAAGACAGCTTTACCTGGGGGATTCCAGGTAAAGGTGAGTCTCCAAGGAAATCTGAGAATGAAATTATACCAGGTCGAGACCACTGGGTCTGCCTCTGGAGTAGAATTTTAAAGCGAGCACATTTACTTCCTCATTGCTCTGTTTATGATTAGAGGAGTGTGTGTGTGTGTGTGTGTGTGTGTGTTGAAGAGGAAGGGAGGGATGATGACAGCAGTTAGAAAGCTGAGAATAAAACAGACTTTCTGGACGTTGATTCTTCCTTGTCAATGGCAGTTGTCTTGCATTAATGGAAATAATATCACTTGTTTATTTCGCTGGTACATTTCACTGGTTGATAAAATTACTTTGGGAAATATTGCCTTTATTTAAAAGGTGTAATAGGCATGTTCATTGAATTAATAACTGAAAGAACAATTTCACAATAGGTTATGTTTTTGTGTGTGTGTGTGTGTGTGTGTGTGTGTGTGTGTGTGTGTGCCAAATGCAACCTAAAGTTAATTGATTTAAAAACTTTTTTGGCACTAGGAGTAAATGATGAATTTACAGTACAAAAATAAAAGAATGTTCAGCAAATGTTTATTTTTTCTGAACATTTTCATTAATAATGCTATTTAGAATAGAATCCACAAGGCACACGCACACGCACATAGACATGTACACACTAAATTTTCTATTTAAAGTTCCCAAATTGAGGATGAAATTCATTTCATTCCAAGAATGGACAGATAGTGAAAGTTTTTGCTTTGGAGAAAATTGCCAACATGAGTATATCATGCTTTTGAATGAATTCAATATATCTAGTGGAAATATTGTCTCAGAATTGAGTAAAATTGAGTAGTTTTAAGTATCTTAGCATTTTGATAGACTTTATTATAAACTAAAGTAGCTTCCTGGATGGACTTCTGACTATGGGAAGCGATTAAGTAGTTAGCCTAAGTAGTTAGCCTACTGAATAACAGGGTATAACAGGGTAAAACAAGCACAGTTATGGTTTCCATTGTAAAATGCCTTTTTAAAAAGTTCAGTATGAAGTAAAACGTGCAGTACTCTTGAAATTTGGCATGTAGCTACCAAGATTTTTGCTACAGACGTTTGGCAAAGAAAACACATCTGATTTCATAACAAGAACGTTTTGTTAGGCGTTACTTTAGTAATTTCTGCAACTGCTTTTATTGCCACCAGAGGGCAGAGAGTCTGATAATTTCTTTTACTCTATACTATGTGTTCTAGAGACAGCAGTTTATGCTTAGCATATCATTTATAACATTTATGTTGATTTTTAGCTGTTATTACTCTTGTTGGACATTTTCATTGTTTTCTGCTTTTGTTGGAGTTAGCATTATTAACTTGTAGAGTTTGTTATGACATTGTCATTAGTGTAAAATTTCTCTTCATAGAGGTTGGACAAATATATTGTAATAGAAGTTGAATTCCTGAATGTTTTCTGCAAAGAAAAAGATTTGGGTCAAGTTACTGCACAAATGATAGATTGATTATTTTTATCTATCAATGACTGTGATTCTATACAATAATATTTAAATAGGAAATGTGAGATATTTTTCCTTTAAAGAATAGTTGCAAATTTGAGCCTGAGTTCTTCAGTTTGGTCTGAGACTTAAATATGATCTAGAATATCTATACCAGAGCTAAGAATGTTCAATCGTGCAGGTTTAGAATGATTATAGTCAGAACACTCTTCCCCGTTTATTTAGTTTGGATCTCTGGAGTAAATATTATCAGGGCCTATTCCTCTTCAGGGAGAATGGGTTTGAATATGACTTAGTAATGGAGTCAGTAGCATTCTTCAAACAGGTTTGTTCCCTGAACAAATAAAATATTTCCATACTGAGGTGCAGGAAATGTGTGTTCACATAATTTTGCCTGTTTGTTTTTCTTTCTAAATGATGTCTCTTATTGCACAAACGTATTTGAGAAAAGGAATGAGATGATCAACCAGTGTTTTATCTAACGTCATGAGACCTAAAGTTTTCAGCCATTTCCCCACCATAGGAAAGTTTCTGTTTCCAGGATGTCAAAACTATGGCTACATGCTCTCCACAACTTCTCCTCTGTGTTCTGGAGATCTCTCGCTAAGGGTTTCCTGAGTATGTGTCACTTCAGAACTCTCCTGACTACTCTGGGAGTGTTCCTCTTCTTTCCACCCCTGCCCTTCCTTCTCCAAGTCCATCTCTGCCCATCCATCCATCCATTCATCCATCCATCCATCCATCCATCTACATTTTAACCTTTAGAAAGGACTTTATTTCAAGTGATACTTCCCTAGAAGTGGTCCTGTCATCATGGTGCCTTCTTAAAGGCACTTAAAGGAATTGCTTGACTAGAGTTTCTGCATTTCTGCATTTCTCTCTTTGTCTTTTAGAGTGGATCTTGAATTCTTGAAATCAGGGTCTGTGATCATTTATATCTGAATCAGCTGCAAGACCGGCAAAAAACCTTGTTATCAAATCGAAGGGAATGCCATAGAAGTGTAGTTCAAGCTAGGTTATTGACTTGAATGCTGTCTTGGGAGACTTCTTAATAATTCTCACTCTAGAAGTTTTTCAATCAGTAAGATGGAAGTGAATGTAAAAATCTAGTTTCATAGACTAATAGTTCAAAAGCAGAGCACTGAATCAAGATATTTACCAAACTGTCCTAACTCTCTGGCTATATACTCACTTTAAGCCTTCTATTAATAGGCAAAACTTAAAAATAAAACAACAACAACAAAAACACCAAAAAAACCCCACTCTCCACTGTTCTCCTATACTGCTTGGTTTTTTACTACATATTCACTCTTTAACTGAATTATCTAAATATCTTAAAATCTTTAATATCTTAAAATACACTATGGATAGATGATGATGATGCAAATGGATAGATGGACAGGCAAACATACATATATATATATATCCATCTTCATCATCAACATCTATCGTATATATAATCTATATAATCCATAACCTATATAGATTATATATGTATATATATATATGATAGCTGGATTATATACACAATGAGGGGAATGCCATTTATTTTCAACAGATGTGTAAACTACTGAATAATTTTGTTTCTTTGTGAAATTCCTTTGGAACTGAACTATCCTGAAACATGCTATCAGCTTACATTTTAATAACTTAAGCTTTTACAGCTTAGTCTTTCGGAATTTGTTTCGGTGACTGTTGTAAGGCTGCGGAAGAGGATGTGTGCCACACATTGCTCTCAGAAGAGCTAGAAGAAGTAATGTGGAGATTCAGATTTGCTGTAATACTTAATATTTCTTCTTTGAACTGATTTGTTGATACCTTCTAGACATATGACTTCATTTGTGTGTGTGTGTGTGTGTGTGTGTGTGTGTTTGTGTGTCTAGAGATCAAACTTATGGCTTGTTACCTTTTAAGAGTTGGATTTTTGAAAGCCTTCTACAAGTTGACATATCTTCTGGCCTACATTTTTGCACTAGTTTACCTGTGCTTTTTGTCTTACTGTTCCTATGTGCTGTGGTTTACATGCAATTTGTTCCTTCCAAACTCATATTGAAATTTGGTCCCTGCTGTAACAATAATTGAAAAATGGTAGTCTTAAAGAATGATCCAGTCACCCAGGCTCTGGTGGCTCATGCCTGTAATCCTGAGATCTGAGGATCGTGATTCAGAATCAGCCTGGGCAAGAACATCTGTGAGACTTTTATCTTGATTTAATCACCAGAAAACCGAAAGTGGAGCTATGGCTAAAAGTGGTAGAGTACTAGCGTTGAGCAAAAGAGCACAGTGACAGTACCTAGGCCCTAAATTCAAATCCCATGACTGACCCCGACCCCCCCTCAAAAAAAAAAAGAAAAAAA